TAATATTACACATTTTACATGTATGTATAACATGAAAGTAATGTTAACTTAGCCTGCACATTACGTTTGTCACCTACTTGGACATGAAGGAGAAGGCTCATTATTGTCTGCTTTGAAGGCCAGGGGTTGGTGTAACTCTCTGGTATCTGAAAAACGCAGTGGCGCCAGAGGTTTCAATTTTTTAGGTATTCTTGTTGATCTAACCGAGGAAGGAATTAAACATGTTGAAGATATTGTTCAATTGACATTTCAGTATATCAATATGCTCAAGTTGAATGGCCCAATCGAATGGATCTATAATGTAATTGATGAAATAAAATGTGATTGTATATAGAATGTCTGACAAATTATGGTATCATAATTTATTCGACATTCTATATTTTAATATTGTACATATGTTACATCTGAAGCAATATGATTTAACATTTACAGGAATATAGAGATATCGCGAATATAAATTTTCGTTTTAAAGAGAAGTGTTTACCTCTTCGGTATGTGTCTTCTACGGTTCACGACCTGCAAGAATATCCTATAACTGATGTTTTGTGTGCGGAACGTGTTTTTAATGAATGGCGACCGGATTTGATTGAAGAAATAATGAAATATTTGACACCAGAAAATATCAGAATTCACCTTGCTGCGAAAATATACGAAAATATAGCAAATGAAACCGAAAGTTGGTATGGCACTAAATATAAGAAAGAGAAAGTATCCAAAGAAACAATGGACATGTGGAACAATACTGGCTATAACTCAGATTTGAAATTGCCTTCCAAGAATGAATTTATAGCTACTAAATTTGATATCAAACCTGAAACTAATGTAATTAAAATTATCTTGTTTTACAATATTAATTCTTGAGTTTAGTTAGTTGGCAATATTTAAACTGAAATCTTTGAAAAATATAAATTATTACTTATGGTATTTGCTATAATTTAATATTGACATATACTTAAAATTATTTGGTTTTTTATACATATAATAGCTCTTTATTGTAATAATGATAAATTTGGAATATTTTTGCTCTACATTAACCTTAAGAAAATTAACTATTAATTTATACAAAATAAAAGAGTTATTGTGATATAGATAAGAGAGAAGTGATAGAAAAGATGGATTTTATACTGTTGAATTATTATCTGTTGTCGATTATATCACTGATCTTTAATTTTATAGTTTTATTGTGATAATTATTACGTGCACTAATAGTTTATATTTCACAGATAGAAACGTTTCCTATTATTTTGGAAGATACTTCGTTTATAAGGCTTTGGTATAAAAAAGACAATGAATTTCTTGTACCAAAAACGAGGATGATCTTCGATTTTGTCAGGTATGTAATAAAGTGATAAGAAATATATCATTCTTTTAATTAAGTATATAATTTATTATATAAATAATTAAAATATTTTCAAATAAGCTTATATTCTCAAAATCTTATTAGTTTATGTAAGTTATAACAATAGAATTAAACTTATATAAATATATTTATTATCTTCAAAATTATAAAGAAATATATTTTATTGTAATTATACAAGGTTTTTATTTTGTTTTTAATTTATAGTCCAATTGCCTATATGGATCCTCTTAATAGTAATTTGACTCATATGTTTATCCAACTATTTCGTGATTCCCTAAATGAATATGTATATGATGCTGATTTAGCTGGTTTACAATGGGAACTTAGTAATTGTAAATATGGAATAACAGTGAGTATATATATATAATATATACACACATATATATATATATACACATATATATATATATATAAATATAAAATAATAATAATAATATTAGTAAAAAATATAAATAGCATGGAATATTATGAGTTATTTGAGTTATTTAATTTGTTATTGAAAATTTGAAATTGATTCTATTTCTAATAATTCTATATAATGTATAATTTCTATATAATAATTAAAGAGAAAAATTAATTATTTTTCTAGCTTGCTATAGGTGGTTACGATAATAAGCAACGCGTACTACTTGAAAAGATTATAGATCAAATGATAAATTTTAAAGTTGATCCAAAAAGATTTGAAATTCTAAAGGAAAATGTATGTACAATAAAAAATGTATGAGTTTTTAATTTAATTGAGATACAGCATTTTTATAAAAAATCATTGATAATTTACAGTATATTAGAAATTTGAAAAATTTCGCTGCTGACCAGCCTTATCAACATGCACTTTACTATCTTATAGTCTTACTGACAGAGCATGCTTGGCTCAAGGATGAATTATTAGACTCAACTGCTTGTAAGTTGTAGAAGACTTAAATGTTCTTTTTTTGCTACAATTTTTTTTTTTTTTTTAATTTACACTTTATCAAAATGACAACTTTTCTTAATTACATGTAATTGAAATTTATTGAAATTTGAATATAATATATAGATTTAACTGTGGAGAGACTTCAATGGTTTATACCGCAGCTACTTAGTAAAGTTCATGTGGAATGCTTAATACATGGTAATGTAACTAGACTAGAAGCTATAGATACAGTTAAACTAATTGAATCTAAATTGATAAATGAAGTGCCTCACCCAGTACCTTTGTTGCAAAGACAATTAGTATTGAATCGTGAAATTAAATTAGAAGATGGTAAGTATGCGTAACAATCTCATTTATAACAAATTTGAACAAATTAATATAAAAAATATCAATTTATATTAGAACGGAAACATAATTTTAATATAAATTATTTACTCTTAATAATTTCTATTTATATTATTTATATTCGGATTAATACATAGTAATAAAAAAAAGATAATTTTTATTTTATTTGTAATCTGTACTAAAATTTTTGTTCCAACTACTAAATGTTTTCTTTTTTCCAATAAGTTAATATTGTTCATATTATACAATACGCAATATTATATAATTATATTGTAGGTTATCGTTTTCTATTTGAAACGGAAAATAAATTACATAAAAGTTCTTGTACAATGGTATATTACCAGACTGGTTTACAGTCAACAGAGTCAAATATGCTCTTAGAACTCTTGACGCAAATTATTTCTGAGCCTTGTTTCAACATTTTAAGAACTAAGGAACAATTAGGCTATATAGTATTTAGTGATATTCATAGAGCATATGGAGGAGCACAAGGTCTGCGAATTTTGGTTCAAAGTGACAAGCATCCACAATATGTCGAAAAAAGAATTAACTCCTTTATGGACTCTATGTTGGTAAGTAATAATTATTTATATGATAATAATAATAAAATAGCATGTTAATACATTAATCAAAATATAAGAATATTTCTTTTTCTTTTATATTTATCACATATTCTGTAATGTCAAATCAATATTAATCTATTTCATAATCATCATTGGCATGACAGTCCTTTGTGAGTCAAAGCCTGCTCATTAATCTATTTCTTATATAATATTATGAAATTATGTAATATTATGATTGAAATATATCATTAATATCACTACAATCATATTTTAGGATCATATAACTACTATGCCTGAAGAGCAATTTGAGGAACACAAGAAAGCTCTGGCTACATTACGTTTGGAGAAACCAAAAATGTTGAGTGCACGATGTAATTTATATTGGAATGAAATTGTAAGCCAACAATATAACTTCGATCGAGTAAATATCGAAGTATCTTACTTGAAAACTATAACGCGGCAGCAGTTACTTAATTTTTATAAGGTAATCATTTATTGTGTTTTCATTTCATTTTACATTTTGTAAAACATATTGAAACTCAAACTTCAGAAAGAAAATATCATAAAGAAACGAATGAAAAACATAGAATATATAGAATTTTTGTATATTTTTATATATAACTTTTTTAAAAGAAATTACTTTTTAGAAAGGTTGAAAAAGTAATATATTTATAATATTTTAGGAAAATGTACATAGCAAAACTCAATCTAAAATGTCAGTCCACGTGATATCTGCGATAACATCGGTAGAAAACAACTCAGTCAATAACAGCACTGAAAAAGTTACCGATTTATCAATGGATGGAAACATTAAGAAAATTGACGACATTATGTCATTTAAAAATAGTCAAACTTTATATCCTCTATTAAAACCGTTTAAGGAATATCCTAGAAAGGGTATACGCCCTTCTAAATTATAAAAGAAATGATAAGATATCAATTTAAATGAATAAATTTGTCATTTATGATCTTATTGTTTTAAATATATTAGTTTAAATTATTGTTTATTCTTTACGGTTTTGGCAAGCGTTCTTTCTCATTATTTTTTATCTTTTAGTTATTGAACTTTTAGTTTATGCGATGAATATCACGTGCCTCAATGATCGAATGGTTAAGACACTCGTACAGAAAGTAAGTGATCCAAGTTCTATTCCTGATTGGAATGATATTTTTCATAATGAGAATTTCGTTGAATGGAGGATAATTAATTTTAAAATTAATTATTGATTCATTAAAAAATGAATCCAGGTTTTAAGTGTTTTGAGCGGATCACGCGCAAATAATTATAACAATACATAGTTCGTGATATAAAGCACTTTGTCTTAAATTTATATATATTATTATATATGTTATTTCAAGAAACAAATTATTCATCCTGTCAATTAATGTCATCTATAATCGTATTTTAAATTGAAGAATTTTTAAATATATAATATTAATTTGTATTGTTTGAAAAAAATTGATTCATTATTTTATAGAAATTAATGAATTATTAGTGAAAAAATAAAATTAGAAAAATTTGACATGCATTTATAATTCACAATAGACACTCATTATTGAAAACCAGTCTGCTAATATCTATTTTTAATATATTATCGAAATTCTATAAATTTTAATAGTAATTTTGCATAATTAACATATAAATTTTCTCACTGATAAGTATATACTATATTGTACTATACTGTATATGCTTTATTGTAGACAATTTTAAAATTGTTTATTTCTTAAAAATCAAATATGTAGATAAAAAATAATTATAGATTTTTAATAAAATTCTAACATTTTAAGTATATAATAATTATACACTATTTCTCATTGAAAATAATTGTTTTACAAAATTGTTAGATTTATTTATAAACAATGATTTAAAGAATTTTTGCAAATTAAGCACAATTCAATGTAAATCTTATATTGTAAGTTATAACAAATTAAATATAGTATGCATCTTAAAGTGTTTTTTTGTTTTTTTTGTTTTTTTTCTTGTTTGATTTTTTCCCCATATCTTTTGTATAATAAATCTAATATATTTGATTATAATATATCTAATATATTTATTACTATTTAAAAAATATTTATCATTAAAAATTTATGGCATAGGCAAATTGTTTTTAGTAATATTTTCATTAATTTGCAAATTATAACTGTAAAACATTCATGTTTTTATGGTTAAATATTTATTAGAAACGATCATATAAAATAATTTTTTTTATTTACGCGCGTTCTGTAATAATTAATATTATTTGAAACTCTATAATAAAGTATTTTGATATAACTTATATAAATGGTTCTATATAATACATACACGCACGAGCCGTGCGCGCACGCTCACACACACGCATCATGCACATTATGCACACACATTATAATTTATGTATTATGTAATTATATATAACCTATATAAATTGTGTGTGTGTGTGTGTGTGTGTGTGTATATATACTATATATATAAAATATATATAATTTATACATCTATATAGATAGAATGTATAAATGAAATAATATCACCCTCACATGTAAATAAATCTTTTGTATTTAAAACTTATCTTTTATCTCTTTTACAAACGACATGTTTATTATGTATAAGTTAAACTATATAAACAATATTTATATAATATTACAAATTATGAATTAACATAATTATAAAAAAAGTTAACACTCGATACTCATTGCGATTATTTTGCGTCTACATAAAGATACAGTACAAAAGAATCAAATTGACAAACTAAACGATATAAGAATGCATTCCACTGTATCAGTATTCAATTTTTGTTCGAGATTTCGATTGATGTACGTAATACAATATATTCAAATTACGAATATTGTCATTGTCTTTTTAAAATTTTCAGATTATCATTTTCAGTTATCATCAGATTATCATTTCAAATTATCATTTTCAGTTTCTTTTAAATGTATTTTCTAATTTCTAATTTTTTAAGTAAATCATTTAGTAAATCATTATCATAACAATCTTCTTTATCACAAATATCTGGTTTCAGAATCTGAAAAATATATTATCTGTAATTAAATAAAATCGTTTATATTCTTTTTTCTTTTTCTTGTTAAAGATATAGATCTTAAAGATATTTTAATTATTCCTTATTTAGGAAAGGAAATAATGAAGTAAATCTTTAAACTTTAGTTATACAATTATTGGATTAATGATTTTAAATAGGAAAGCAATTATTTTGCGATATAATAATACATCAATTAGTTTTTTGTAATAATAAGCAATGATTTCTTTACCTGATTTTTTTTGTTGTTTGCACTGTTTAAGACTCTTAATGTTTGTTTTTTGTTTGTTGACTTTTTATCTTGGATAATTTTGAAGCAGTATAATGAGGTCTTGATTTTTTCAAATGTGTCAATTTTTCTCGTACGGTAAGAGTACTGATATTTTTAATATTTACTGTAAAATATAAAATAAATTATGAAATCTCCTTCAACACCAGTAAAAGATATAATATAAAAATCCATGGGGAAAATTTATTTATTTTCTGTTAAGAATTCTGTTAAGAATTTATTAAGAAAAATTTTTATCTTTAATTTTAAAAGTATTATTTTCATTTAACAAAAAAAATTACTTACCTATCTTATACGGTTTCCGATTTTTACCAGTAGCAAAAATGCAAGATGTAGTACCCACTTCCTTATGCATGATTCTATATTTACTTTTATTAAATTTTATCAAATTTTCTGTTAATGTTAGTAATTGACCTTGTAAATTACATTGTAAGACCTACAGAATAATTCAAGAATTAATTTTGTTATAAAAAGAAACATTTTTATTCCAAAGTATTATTCTGTCATCAGTGCATGACAGATACTTTACAGACACTTTTTGTTAAATTAAAGCTTTTTTTTTCATTGAAACAAATTTGGATCTATTGCATAATTATATGCTTCATTACTAATCAATTTTATTAGTTATTTAAATTATTCTCATACATTAGACAAAAAATTAATATACC